GAGGTTACCTAGCCTGGTAATGACATGTCTGAAGAAGAAAACCAAGTTCACAGTACATCAAAAATTCCAAATGTGCCTAAATGGCTCTGAAGAGTCCCCTCCTCCTGGCATATATATGCATATGTTACAAAATAAAACAAAACTAAATGCTGAAGGCTCACGGAACGCTGTTACCTTCCCACCAAAGGTGGTTCCTATTTTTCTACTTGCATTTTTACATGCTTTTGAACTGCTAGGTTGGCAGAAGCTGGGACAAGTAACAGGAGCTCACTCCATTAAGCAACACTAGGGATTCGAACCACTGAACTGCCGACCTTTTTGATTGACAAGCTCAGCATCTTAGCCACTAAGCCACCACATCCCAATTACCAAACCTATTTCTATGCATTAAGCAATTACTTAAAACAATTCATAACCTATCCAAAGCAACATCAGTATGTTTGATTCTACACAAATTTTCCTTTTGTAGCATGGCAAAGAATCATATTATTTATTTGCAGACCTTAAGGGCCAAGTCTGAATAGTATACAATTCCCTTGGTCTCTTACTCAGAATTTAAACAAGCAGATAAAGAATCTAATTTTAAATTTAAAATCACATATTATGAAATCAGGAATCAACAATCAAAATACAAAAACCTAATTTATTGGAACAGACATAATAAATATTTGAAAACAGGAAACGGGGCCATTTAACTATCTGGAACAGAATAATATTCCAGAAGAGTGAGGTAGTGATAATCTCTAATTAAGGAGGCACAAATAAAGCCTTCCCTAATAGATCTTATCAGGAGAAGGCAGTCCCACATATATCTTTGTCCATGATGAATTTAAAATTGACAACCTCACTTTGAAATGCATCTGGAAGTCAACTAATAGTAGTAGCCAGTGCTTCTCTCAAAGTAGAACTGCTACAGGAGATATATCCACAACTACTTGAGTTGCTGCATTCTGGGTCAGAAAACTTCCAAATGCTTATATTCAGGCATTGGAATGGCTTTAACTAAATAGAGCAAACATGGAACATTTCATTTATATTTGAATCCCACTTATCTACTTTAGAAAGTATTACCATACTTACTTCAGTTGTAGTACTTGGTCCTCCATCAAAGAAATAAGAGGGGAAATTACTATACCAATACCTCCAGTGCACACAGGTGGAAACTGAAAGCATAAGCTCTTTCCATATCCTTAAAAAAAGAATAAATTTAAACATAAAACTAAAGAACATATCAGTTTTTCCTATAGACAGTTTCCAAAGTTGCTATAAATGTGTGCGAGAGAGAGATTAGAGTTATTGGACTACAGGTAGACCTTGACTTACAACAGATTGTTTAGTGACCACTTGAAGTTACAACAGCACTGAAAAATGTGACTTATGACGATTTTTCCCAAATGATCCTTGCAACATTCCCATGGTCATGTGATCAAAATTTGGGTGGTGGCAACTGGATCATACTTATGATAGTTGCAGTGTCCCGGGGTCATGGGATCAACTTTTGCGACTTTCTGACAAGCAAAGTTAATGGAGAAGTGAAATTCACTTAACAACAGTGTTACTAACTTAACAACTACAGTGATTCACTTAACAACTGCAGCAAGAAAAATCATAAAATGGGGCAAAACTCACTTAACAAATTTCTCACTTAGCAACATAAATTTGGGGCTCAGTTATGGTTGGAAGTCAAGAACTACCGTGTTTCCCCGAAAATACGACATGTCCTGAAA